ATCGGTATCGGCCAAAATTTTCATATCGGTGCATCCCTACAAATTTTTATATATTTTGATTAAATATGACACATTCATCCATTGAATCATTCACAATAAGATCAATAACATTCATTTAAATAGAAATGGTACATTTCTGTTTCATGCCATATGTGTGCCTTTATCAGGAAGCCTGTTTCATAAGGTAGGAATCCTAATTATTTTGCCTTTTAAGATAACGTAAGAGAGAAGACAATCCCAGAATGCATTTGTATGGTATTGATCAAAAAGTTTTGTGAGTACTCTTTATTAAAATATCATACTGTTAGCTTAGCAACATGCTAATTGAAAACCATTGAAACCAATTGCAAGTCTTTGTGTGGCACACAGGGTTGCTGCCTATGTCAAGCTTTCTAAATCGGTCTCTTATGACATTCTGTGATGTTTTGAATGCTGCCTTAAAAGGCAGTTGGCAGTGTGGCAGCTCACTACATTTTGAAACGGCGCTAGTAAGTCTGAGTAATATTAAAAGGTTTTCTATGCTGTCTGTTGGCAGATCTATTCTAATCGAGTCCTCCTCTGTCTGACCTACAGCAGGGGAGTGACACGGAGTCAGAAAAGGGCGTGGCTTCTGAATCAAAGGCAGAGCTTGAGAAACTGGGTGGTCCTGAGCGTCACAGGCTGTTGAAGGAGGTGGATCCTGACATGGCAGCCATATTGCACCCTCATGATGCACGCAAGATTGCAAAGTAATTATTTAAGTGGTGGCAAACAAACATTGAGACAAAGCTTATTTACCAGTCACAGGAAAAACTACAGTGTATTTTCATTGAGTAATTATTTCTACCTTTACCACAGATCAGCATGGTATAATAAAGTATTTGCTAGAATTCAATGGCTCTGAAAATAGTATACAAAGTAGTCCAGTGTTAGAAACTAATGGTGCAATAAATTCAGTTAAGTTCATTAAAATGGACAATTTGGGTCTTGGACCTGCAGGCCTGGGTCTTGGTATTAAGTCTGCATTTTGGAAATTGGTCTTAGGGGGCCTGGCTGTGGTTTTTGTCATGGAACATCTAGTCGTGACTCCAGCTCTGTATACATAAACATACCTATTTTCTTAATTTGTACCCATTCTGTGGCATTAAAATTCAAAC